AGGGTTTCGACTCACACACTCGCTCCAAACAGGGTTCAGGGTTTCAGGGTTTAGGGCTTGGGGGCCCTGAGGATCAGAGCAGGGTTCCCGTATAGGAAGTCTTGAAGGGCCCGTAAGGGAACTATGAGGGTATAGCATAGGGGTCGTAATGAATATTGCACAATTACAACAGGTTCCATGATTATAGGATAGCTATCACAATTTAAGGAACCCTGAGGCATAATGTCGGTAATCATTCAGGCTCCAATAATAGCGTCTCCTGCTGTGGGCAAAATCAAGAAATACGCTGGGCTGAAGGGGTCTGAAGGGTCTTTTGCGGTCCGATGATTCCTGAGGTGAATTGAATTTAGGGTTTGGGGTTTAGTGGGCTTTGAATGGTTGCGGTTTGCGAGCAAGCAGCCAAGGCCGTCCGCCGGATGCGGTAAATGGACAGTGCACCTTGAGGTTGTGAGCAATTGTTTCAGGGGTCAGGCTCCAGGGCATGTAGAGTTCAAGGTTGGTGAGTCATGGAAGAGACGTAGACTTGGGCACCTTTCGGCTTCGATCCTAATGCTCCGGCATCCAATCCTCATGGAAAGGCGTTGAATCTTGAAACCTGTAGTGCTCACCGTAACAAAATCAAACCGAAGTTGAGTTTCCAAAACCGAAGCAGAAGGCCTCCGAAGCTCCAACCTTCCCTGAAAGCAGTAAATTAGAGGCGTGAGCCCTTGAATATCTACATGGACATCATGCAGCGACGCCCTCAAGAAAACGTGAACACACCTCCTTCTCGCAAAGCTTATATTGAACCGAGTGAGGGTCCCCTTATGATATTGCGGACTAGACAGGAGGCATGAGCCGATTTCTCCTCAACAGCAGGGCTCCCCAACCTCTATAAATCAGGCCGAGAACCGTTTTTGCAGCCCACCGCCAAGATCTCGTGAGTATCGTCCTTGAGTGCTTCGCGGAAGCACAGGACCTGCAGAGTGCGGCTCGTGATTTGGAAAGCCTGGGTTGGTACTAACTAGTACTATGATGGTCAAGGTTGCAGGGGCAAGGAACCTTCCAGCATCTAGGCCCTTCAAGGTCTTGCAGGCTTGACACTCAAACCGGACAAGTCTGGCAAGGGTCGGGACGACTGTCTGACAAGGTGCGACTGCGGCATCAACAAATCCAAGGTGCTGTGACTGCACCATCGGAAGGCTTCATTGTGGGCACGCCAGTGTCGCCTCTTGCAGCAGATATAGGGAGGTTCCTTATTGTTCCTCATAATATAATTCTAGTAAATTCAGATAGTATATGCACCAAAACCCTTTTGAAATTAAAAGGCCCGCTAGGAACAGTCAGGGAACACCAGACCAGACCTCAACAGCCGGCCTGCTCGCTCGATTCTCCTCCACAGCCCAACATCGGCCGTGTTGGTCCTCAGCCGAAGCAAAGACACTCTGAAGTTCCCACTAAAGGATCCTGGGTGCAGTGTGCAACGCTGTTTTTGCGACACCTAAACTGTCTGGGCATGTGTTGCGTTTTGAGCGGCGCTTACTCTGCACAGAGCTCGTGAGATTCTTGCTTTGATTGGTGTGGATACTTTGAGCTACTCATACCTCCCCCCCGATATTCTACAGCGTGCCACGGCAACTGAGGCCAGCTGCTGGCCGTTCTCTTGCAAAGTGGGCCGCAATAGCCGCGCTTTGCTGGGAACCTCGCCATGGAAATGAGTCATGGCCAATGCTGACAATTCAAGCAAGTGACACTCATCGTCGAAATCATCTCTTGAGGCGTCGGTGTCTTGTTTTATATTGATTCTTCGGAGGAGGACTCCGATGATTCCCAACCTTCTGACTGCACGCATCGAACCAAGACCGAAGCCCCAGCTGCTGTTGCTGGAACAGGGCGGACACTGCATCGAACTCCTTAGAAGCTGTGACAACCATGTCGCAACGGATGCAAAATGTGTGCCTGTGAGTCGTCTTGGGCAGCTGCTCATTCGGAGGTGCTCCTCGAAATCCTGAGAGAGCAAGACACTTACGGCAGCGACAAGAAAAACGGAAACGACCATGGCCCAATCAACACTTACTTTGACTTGAGAGTCCATTCTCGATCTAGCAACTCTTGTAATTTCGCCCAGCTTCTGCCAAATCGGCAATGTTCTCACCTCGATTTACTGCCAACGTAGCCCTGCGATCCGCCGGTGGCCTGCAGACACGAATCCCAAGCAGACTTGTCAACGGCTCGCCGGCACAGATCCCTGCGCCTACTCCTTGCAACTTCACGGGAAAGCTCCTCACAGTTCTTTCTCAAAGAATCCGAAGAGCTTGGCTTGACAACAGTGACAGCTGAAGCAAACAGCGGCAAAGCGCTTTAAATGTAGTCGAAGGTCCTTCTCGCTCTTCTTTTCGAGCAGATTGGGCGGTAACAAGGACATCCGAACCGACTTGCGCCGGGCCACAGCTGCAGCCTGGTTCGCTTGAGATTGCCCCCTTGGCTCTTGGCACTGTGCCTCCAATCGTTATGCTGCTTCCTTGCACTTGCCAGTCCTGCGGATCCGTCTCCAATCTGCGCCTCCCCTGACGGCCCACAAACATCGGCAGCTAAGATGGCGTGTCCTCAAAAAGCTTTGCGGCCTTGGGCTGAGGAGCACTGAGACGAGGTTGGGCCGAGACGACTGGCCTGCCATCTGCCATGCCCAAACTGCTTCCACAGAGTCAGAAGTGCAACCGCATCTTGCAAGGGATAGCTGCCGCCTGTCAAGGAGCTTCATCCGGGCCTGGTACACGGCTAAGACAAATTAAAGCAAGTAATTAAGGCCTTCGAGACAGCGAGTCGAGATGCCAACGCCGTCTTTGCGCCTGCAGGAGCTGTTTTCTGAGCTCCTCGATCTCACGGGTCAATCCCGCGACTTTGTCGATCAACTCATCTGCCTGGCTAGAGACTCCAACTCAAAGGATCCATGTGCAAGGGTCGTCAGGATTTAACTCCGTGTCAAATGCCTGTGCCAGCTTGGCTGCCTGCTCTTCCTTCTCCTGCAGAGCATTCGCTATGGTTGGAAACATGCCCCGCAGCTCTACACTCTACACTCACCTCTATGACACGCCTAGTCAAATCACGTATCTAGTCAGAACCGAGTCGACATTGGACGTTTTCCATACGGATTCTGTTCGGGCATTTTTGAGGCAGGAGGTCCCAATGTCCTTTTGTAGAGGCCTTAACACGAACCCTAAAGCCTACATCCACCGGAACCCCTCCAAAAATCATTGGACCCTTTTGGCAGCAGACCGCGTTGTCCTTGATCATCCAATCCTAGCCTCAAGCCCTGCAGAAGCGTAATCCTTTAAGCGCTTCCTTACGTCCTGCATTGTGCCTCATTGTGGTGTTATGTTGTTTATTGCGTAGATAGCCTCTCGCGCCGTGGGTCCGTATCATAAAGAAGTTCAGAACCTACTTTAAGCTACCATAGGAAGGAAAGACGACAAACTAACTATTTACCACATGACTATATATCCTGCTATTGGAGCAACTTGATTCCTTAGCAAGAGTCCATGAAATCCTCTACAGCATCCTTCCTGAAACCCTTTGACACCCTTGTAGTGCCGTGATACAAGCCCTTTGACAAGTTAAATCCCTTTTGCGTCCATTAAGTTCCGAGCTCCTGATCGTGCTCTGCTCTGACCTGTTCCCTCTCGGCCTTGGTATTCTTCTCCTGGGCGGAGACAAGAGCCGGGATTGAGGAAATGAAGGCTTAATACTGGACAAAGGGCCTAGGGCCCAGGGTTGGGGAAGGTGTTGAGACTTAGGAGTTTTAGGCCTTCGGGCTTCTGATTCTGTGGGTTTAGGGGTCGAAGGGGTGGGTTCAACCAAGGAAGGGAGTTCACAGGCCGACTTCTGGAGGTAGACGGGAAGGCACCCACGGAAACGATGGGGGTCTCAACCTCCAGCTCCTTTTATGGGAGGCACTGAAGCAGATACGATGTCCGTGAGCTACGAAGGGACGGATCGAAGAACATCAGCTCCCTAGTCCTAGTGCAGCCAAGGATCAACTTCTGCCAGCTTGGCCACGGCAGCCTGCGACGTTGAGAGCTCAAGACTGAGATACAGGGGTTGAAGACTTGCCATGCGCGAGAGAGAGAGAGAGAGAGAGAGACACAGAAAGGGAGAGAGCGAGAGGGAAAGAAAGAACGATAAAAGGAGACAAAGAAAGACATGGATAGAGAGAGAGAGTCCGTATGTTGGCAACTGCTTGCTGTACATGTTGTAAAGACAACAGGCATAATCGAAGCATGGATAAGCATGGGACCGAGCGCTTCAGTTAGTACTCGTGTGGCCTGCAGCTGCTCGTCGTTCTCGGCTTGCGCCACCTCCAGCTGCTTGCGGAAGCTCTCCTGACATCACGGCAATTCTTTTGTTCTCTCTTCTTCTGCACAGCCAAAGGAGAGCAAGGGTGCTCTCCCTGCACGCGGACGCGCCCTGGTTGCTCGTCTGGGTAAGTTTGTTCTCTCTCTCTCTCTCTCGCTCGCTGTTCGCCCTCCAAAATCGCATTGCTGTTTCGGTGTACCTTGTCGGCTACAAGTCCTCACAAGAATAGAACATCGTAACTGTCGCAAGCCATTGCCCGGAAGGAATCGTATTTCCTCGAAACTGCCATCTTGTGCCCGCGCATGCAGCGACGTTTAGAGTGCTGAAGATTCCAATTAGGACCCATCAAACCGTAAATCTGCGAAGGAACCCTATGAATCGTGCCTGAATGGTCCGGATTTGCTGAGTCATCTGGCCGACATGCCTCTCGTACAGCTCCTGGGAAAAGGCTTGCTTCAGATTTGTGGGTATGGTCCACCGGCTATTTTTTATTTTTGCCTCCCGTAGCGCTGGGACTAGGACCCACATGGCCGGGTGCACTCGGCAGACCAAATAAAGCAAGGCGACAGCACCCCAGGGCCAAAGCAAAACACTCAAACCAAATGACATAGGGGCGATCCAGACCCTGTATTTCTCGCGCAGGGCGGCCGTCTATATACTTGCTCAAGGCTGTGATGACTGGCATCGTCAGCCAATGTTCGTCTCTTCTGTTCTATCGCCAGGAGCGTCAACCTGCAAAAAGACAACTCCACATGTGATGCCGGAGCTCCCCGGAGCTCACTGTTGGGACGAAGATGGAACTGCTACCGTCCCCTTCCCACCAACGTGTTGATACACAGACACTAAAAACGTGATTTCCTGACCATGCGCCACCGCATTGCCAGCAGAACTCGTGCTGGCAACGGGTGCAAGTCATGTGCGAGCAGCCACCATTCTTCAAAATTGGCACACGGCATTTTGGACACTTCCTCACTTCACCACCAAACAGAACCGCACTTGCGTCCGGCCCGGTGATCACATTCACGCCCTGCCGGTACTGCTCACAAGAGAGGTTCGTATGGCTGTACTGGCCAGTTGACCATCTTACACCACAAAGCCTGCGGTTGTTCCTGCGACAACCCTCGCACGTGTACATTCTGCCCACGTGGAACACACCTTCGGGTATTTGCGTATCCCAAGAGTGCCACCAAGCATGTGCAGCTTGCCAGAATGATCCTGTCTGCGTACCGCATTCCTGCCGGTCTGTGCTGTCCATTCCAAAAACAGCTTGGCCACAATCGCACCACAAGATGTTAGTCTCCGAATTGAGACTGTGCCGAAGCTGTGCGCCACGAATGGCCCAAAGCTCGACGGGGTATAGCTTGAAGACGTGGGTCAAGTCCTCCTGCAGCTGCCGACCGCAACCAACAACTGGGCAAGTGAGCGGGAAGCCATCATCCAGGCGAGCAACAAGATGGCTTCGCAGGCAGTCTTCGCAAAGGTTTTGGCCATCTGCTCCCTCTGCGTGGTCGTGGAGCACAGGAAAGAAACACAACGGCAGCTCTGCGAAACATACCGGACAAGTTGCCATCTCCATGCGCAATAGGGACAGGCCACCCGGAAGCCATTGGCGAGCAACTAAGCCTAGGTGCCTCAGCAGATGGCGTCGCGCTCGGCCCAGAGCCACTGCCAGAAGCACTCCCATTTCGTCAGCAAGGAAGATGAACCAACCGCTCGAGCCCCACCGAAGCAGTTTCAAACTTGTCCCCACAAAGTGAAACATTCCCAGCATCATTCCCCTCGTCATAGTCATATCTTCAGCAGCCATGCAGATGAACTTACCGAGCGAGCAGCTCCATGGACGCGGGTCGAAACTTGTGAAAACCGCTGTGAAAACCACTTTTACGTCACCGTCCAGCTCTAAGACTGGATGCAGCCCCAGATGCTCCGGAACCAGCCAAAGAGCAACTGCACAAACCATAGCTAAGCCGTAGAGCTTGCAAAGCTCCAGGCGGTTTCTGGGCCGAATCGACTGCAGAGGAGGTTGCTGCAGAGGAAGTTGGTGCCATCGCAAAGCCAGCACTACCAATGCACGACGTTGGTTGCACTCAAGATCCAGACTACTGAACAGCCAGCTCTGGAAGGCGTAGATGCCCCAGGACAAAACGAGGACACCTACACGAATACCTGGAACAAGGTATGGAGGCACGGCCACAACACCGAGTACGAGAAGGCGGCAGGTCTCACCTGCATTCGGGAAGCATCTCTGCATGGCCAAAGCCAAGGTGCTGCAATAAGATGCATGTGCCAGACAGAGCCTTTCTGTCTGCGACATGCCTGGCCAACCCCAGAACAGTAAAGCCTCCATTGCGGACAAAATCTTGACTGGGGCCGCATGTAAGTTCTAGCCTGCTTGCTTGAGACAGCAATGCGCCCAGACTGCATCTGCACGACACTGCAATGCGGAATGGTTCATCGGCTTTGCCATAGCCAGCAGAGCTGACAGTGCAAGCTTGACCGTTCCTACCAGGTCGGATTCCGTCAGGCCGTCCAAAACCCTCCTGATACGCCCCGAAGCTGTGACCAACAATCTCTCATGGTCTGCAACTGCGCTACTGTCACGGGGAGGCGATGGCACCTTGGCTTCTGTCAGATGTCAGTGTTTCGGCTTGAACACCGACGATCCCAGCAAGCTCGATCCCGAACTCCGATGCTGCACAAAATGAAGTCTTGTAACAAAAAAGATTGACTGGTCAGTGGTGAGGCAAGGTGATGACGGTAAAACTCCTTCCATTTCGATTTAGAAGGTAGCGTTTCACTGCAGCATGTTGTGGCCAATGCGCCGCTTGTTGCAGTTGAAGATAGTTGAAGGATGTTCGGCTTGCAAAGCATCGTCACCACTCACCGACACAACCGCTCCTCTTGGCGCTTCGCACTTTCCTCCAGCGACGATACCTGCTGACGTGCCGACGTTAAGAAACCGTTCAGATTATTGAGGGCTGTTGTTGGAAAAAGTCGAGACAGGCAAAAAGAGGAAGAAAGCAACTGTTTGTTCTTGCCATGACGTCACAGTTCATTCGGATTGCAAGCCGAAAAACCTGCAAGAAGGAGACCCGTGCAGAAGCTGTCACTTGCCTGGAACTGAACCCATCCTAAGGCCCGCAGCATAGACCAGGAACTCTGACACATCCCTACTGTAGCGTTGATCACGTGACGGGTCTTACCGTTGCTGATGTCCTGACTTTGTTTAAGCGAGATAATGCGCGACTGAAGGCTACTAGAAGTGTGCGCAACGCGGTTCTGACGGCCTCAGCGATATACAAGAGATGAGCGCAAGCGAACTAAAGCTGATTTTGGCACGTGCAGAAATTTTTGACCTGACATTATAATAAAGCTCCCAGAGAAATGCCACCTTCGCTTCGGACGCTTGAAGGAGCTCCTCTTGCCTCTTCAGCTTTAAGGCCTCAGTACTCAAGGACACCACAGGGGGCGCAAAGCTTTTTTGCTGACGACTCACGGACTGGGCGAGCCCTCTCCAAGAAAGAACACGCTGTGGCCAGAATGATGCAAGCTGCAGCCGTCCCCGGGACCAACCATCAAAAAGATGGTGTCCCGAGGGGAAAGGGTACAGCACTTGATCCAAAACCAAGCACTGAAGAAAAAAAACGACCGCCCTCCGGTCCTAGGGCTTCACCACTGCGCTGCTATTCCTAGATGTTGGCTCAACTTTTAAGGGAACCTTAAGGGACCCCACTGTAGATCCCTCTGGTACCCTTTAAAGGAGGGTGACCGTGAACGCTGCTGCACCGTCCTAATGATTTCGCAACGGGAATCCAGAATTCTGGGAACAGCTTTGCCTGAGGGCACGTACCGGGGATGTGTTTTACCCCACGTGCTGCAAGCGTCGCAACTAGCGCCGCGAGTATGTGCTACCTTGCCGCCCGTGCGAGGGCGCCTGGACAGGTCCATCATTTGGATCCGAAGAGGTAGTTCTTGATGGATTTGTATCCGGCGTGGGCTGCGGTGACAAGCATCTTTGCCACCGCTCCGATCTTCTTCCTAGCCTGTTTGGTGCAAAACTTCTGGAGGCCTGGCGAGAAGAAATCGCAAAGCTCCCAAAAGGTGGCTCCGTACACCGAGGGCGCCGAGCAGAATTTCTCAGCTAGCTCAGGAAGTCTTGTGTGTGAACAGCACATCGCCGTTTTCCTGAGTTACGGACTGGCCGCACATCCTGTTGAGCATTCCGGGCTTCTTGCTGTTTGCGAGCTGGGCACTACACTTGAATGTGGCGCTGCGCGGGTGCACGTCCACCGCAATTGCAATCGCCGTAGCTCCCGTGTACTCCTGGTGCCTAGCCCTGGAGAGAGTAGGGATCTTTCTCAGGTCAGAGAGATCCCTGCGGTCGAGCAGCACCTCCGTGGAAGTTGCTCGAGTCGAGCAACTTCCGCGGAGGTGCTAGGACCGGGCACAGAAAGGCATAGCCCAGCTTTTGAGAGCCCTCTACAGTGAAGCCAATGTAAACGGCTCCGCCGACGTTCTGCAACAGGACAGTCAGGATTGCGAGGAAAAAGGCATACCATGCGTGCTGGTAGCCGCAGGTGCGCCTGACCAAAGGGATCGCAGATTTGTACCTCGATTTCCTGTCCCTACTGGTCAGGCTGACCAGTAAGGACAGGAAATCGAGGTGCAAATCTGCGATCCCTTTGTGGATCCAGGCCAAACGCTATTTCCAAGCGCCTCAGGCATGCAGGGCACAACCATTGGCCGGCCTTCTGTCTGGAGCAACAGAGGCGCCAAAGGATCGGCGGTCACGTTCTCCGGAGTCATGCCAGGCGTGTCCGGCGTGGTGGTCTCGGTCGTGGTCTGCATCCTCCTGATCGACGACCCGCTTCCCCGTGGCTGGAAACGCGAGCGAGGCAACGAGCAGCAAACGTAGGACAAGCATGAAGTGAACTGGAATGAGCACGCAACCGCCTTGATGCTGACGTTATAAGCTTTGAAGCAGCTATGCTTCAGCCAAAGTGGGATTGTATCCATCATGTTCGGATAGAGCGAACACGATAATTAACAACTACAGTCCGAGGAACAATGCTTGGCAAAGCAAAGAACAGCAAGAACAGAAACAGGGGACGGAGATTCAAAAGTGTTGCAACATGCCATGCACACATACACATACACGCACACACACTTGCATTGCCGGTC